AAATCTAACATCACAGAGGCCCTACGAAAAAAGGAGACAGTATATCCTGTCAGATCATTCCCTGAGCAGACTTCAATGTCATTTACAAGAACTTTCAAACAATGGTAAGAAATCCTTCCCTGTAAGATCCTTTTAATATGCCTGGAGTCTCAACCTCTCAGCATGTTGCCCTTGATGAGTCTATGGTAAAGAGGAGATCATTGCCCATATCCCCCTGAAAATGTCCTTTTGCAAAGAAGATCTGGAGAGCGAGATGAAATGGTTTTTGTTGACAAGCTGAGCATCTTCTTGATGTAGGACTCTGTGCTTTACAGGGCCACATAAAATAAACATCAATTGCGTCTTAAGGATCATCAACTCAGTAAAAGACATTTTTTGGTTTGCCAAAAACTTGCTGTAACTTCCAATGCACGGAGTTGTCTTTGACTGAGTTACAGACTGGCACATTCACAGACTAGATTGTAAATAGAAGCATAGTGTGTAAAAGCAAGGGAGTGATGCTACACCTCTACAAATCTTTGGTCAGACCACATTTGGAGTGTAGTGTTCAGTTCTGGGCACCTTATTTAAGGAAGGATATTAAAGTTCTGGAGAGAGTTCAACGGAGATTTACTGGAATGATACCAGGAATGAAGGCTTTTAGATACATGGAAAGATAAAAAGCATCAGACTTATTCGCCTTGGATCAGAAAAGCTTAAAAGTTGATCTTATTGAAGTTTTCAAATTTATGAACAATTTTGATAGGGTAAAGAAGGATATTCTGTTGCCATTAAATGGTACGTCAGTAAGTAGGGGTCACAATTTCAAGATTGTCAGCAAAAGAGCTAGCAGTAAGAAGAAACTTCTTTACTCAGATAGTTGTCAAAATTTGGACTGCGTTGCTTGGGAGAATGGTAGAGGTGGATTCCATAGAAGGTTTAAAAAAAGAGACCTGCATATATATTTGAAAGTGATAAAGTTGGAGGGCATTGGAGGTAGAACGGGAGAGTGGGACTAGCTGGGTAGCTCTTTTAGGAGTCAGTACAGACATGACCAATGGCCGTTTTCTGTACTATAAAATTCTCTGATACTATTCCAAAGTCCAGAACTATATACTGATGGACACTTGCTTCAGGCAGCTGTCATAGAGACACAATCGGAAGATACCGGTTTAAGGCCTTTCAACCACGGTACATCAAGAGGCAGGAAACTGCGTAGAACCCACTGGCATGCATGAATGTATGAGTGATTTGTGGACAAAGTTTTTAACAAGAAATTCAGTGTAAATCAGATTGATCAGATGTGAAAGATGTTGCAAACTGCAAGTTAGCCTTTGACTTCACTCTGCCTTATTTACAAACAATTTACTTCTTTCATCCTGACACCTATTTCAGAACTATTAATAATGTTTTTGCCAAAATGAGCATCAGGTGGATTAATTGTGTAACAACTGCAAACGTAAATCCTAAATTCTCTCCATATAGCTCGACAATAGATTTGTATTGGTATGAGTGAATTGATATGAATAAATTTCACTGCACAGATCTAAGACAAGATAATATTTAGTGTATAAATGTTGAGTGGCTATGCCCTTCTACCTATTGTAAGGACTGCATGTTATAATTGCAAATATAAACTGAAAAAAATGGAAGTTTGAATTAGTTTCTTTTTTGAAGGAAAAGTTTCTCTCCGGTTTGATACTTTTGGACATACCAGCACCAGGTGTCTGGGAAAAAAAAAGTAACTACCCAGCAACAGCTTTTATATTGGTTTAAAGTAGCAGTTCGACACAGAACTGAGGGGACAGCACTCAGTTGTTCTGTATGTTTGTATGAATGCATGTGATTTGCAGACAGAGTTTTTAACCAGAAATTAAACGTAAATTAGATAGATCAAATGCAAAAGACGTTTCAAACTGCAAGTTAGCCTTTGAATTCATTTTGCCTCATTAACAAACAACTTACTTCTTTTATGCAGACACCAATTTCAGAATCATCTTGATTTTGCCAAAATGAGTTTCGGTTGGATTAATTGCAATGTAACAATTGCAAAAGTAAATCCTATGCTGCCTCCATTCAGTTCTTGAGAATAGACTTGTATTGGTGTGAATAAATCAAACCTGCAAAAGATCTGCCATCAAACAAAATTGCTTTCTCATACTCTGAGTAAAATAAATTGCCTACAGCCATATTAGTCTGGAAAAAAAACCTCCTGATCTTGGAAGCTAAACAGACTCAGGCCTGATTAGTACTTGGATGGAAGACCACCTGGGAATAGCAGGTGCAGTAGGCTTTGGGTGGCACAGTGGTTAGCACTGCTGCCTCACAGCACCAGGGACCTGGGTTTGATTCCACCCTCAGGCAACTGTCTGTGTGGAGTTTGCACATAGAACATAGAACAGTACAGGCCCTTCGGCCCACGATGTTGTGCCAAACTTTTACCCGAATCCTAAGGTCTATCTAACCTCCACCCTTACCTTTTACCATCATCTATATGCCTATCTAATAGCTGCTTAAATGCCCCTAATGAGGCTGACTCCACTACCCTCTCCGGCAATGCATTCCATGCCCCTACCACTCTCTGAGTAAAGAACCTACCTCTGACGTCTCTCCTCTCCCCATGTCTGTGTGGGCTTCCTCTGGGTGCTCTGATTTCCGTCCAAAGATGTGCAGGCTAGGTGGATTGCCTATGCTAAATTGCCCATACTGTTCAGGGATGCGTAGATTAGGTGGGTTATAGGGGGATGGGTCTGGGTGGGATGCTCTGAGGGTTGGTGTGGACTTTATGGACCGAAGGGCCTGTTTCCACACTCTAGGGATTCTATCATCAACATCTAATAACACCCAAAGATTTTGAAAACAGAAAACTTTGAACTCAAGACAAATTAACATGTGTTTTGATCTAATTGGGTTATAGTTTAAACCTGCATATTAATAATCTGATGTTGCCATGTTAGAAGATAAGTTTGTCATAATAAAAAAAAGCAAAAACTTAATTATTAATGAAACCTGGTGTGAGTTTCTATTAGCTTAGATTGTGGTCACAGTCAGGCATTAATAATTCTAGAGATTAATTAACTTGGTCATATTTTCACATTTGTGACAACTTGTGGGATACAGCAGCTTGATTTCCAGGACACTATTTCACCAGGGAAATCAGAGTAGTTTTTCCTCTCAAATGCTGATGGACTGCTGGATTTCTAGCCTTTTTGTTTTTTGCTTTGAGTTTCCAGCATTTACAGTTTATAAAATATCTATCATAATAATAGTAGTTCATCTACTCTTTAAAAGATACAGCATTAACTGTTTTATATAAATAGTGTTGGTTATTTGCAACATATTAGTGATTGTATTTAAAAACAATTAACTTCATGCAAGGTGAGTTGCGTAAAACACTAAATAGAGGTTATTTTCACTTTGTACAATAACTATTCTTTTGAGGGAAAAATAATCATTCTGCATCTTGCATGAAGCCAATTAACTTAGTGATTTTTTCTACTTAACAATTCAAATTCAAAGCAATTGTTTCAAGAATCTGCACAGGTACACAAATTACGTGTTCTGTCCAGTGGAGCTGGTTTTGAGTGATTACTGCCTCAATGCTGGGCATGTTGGCATGGGAGAGGATGCTGTTGTTGAATCACTTGCAACAGAATTTGGAGGATTTTGCAAATGCACCACTAATGGTACTCCTCCAGTGTTTAGATCTGTCTGATATAGATTGTTGAAGCCTACCCTATCTTAGTCCTCAAGTCAGTCTCATGGTCATTAAATATTCTCACCAAACATTAAGTAGGTTGAAGGCCATGATGAATTTTATTATCTGTGTTTTGTCTTCATTGACAGTAGGCTCCCAATATCTGGAAGGTGGTTCATGTTCTCCAAGATCTTGCCACTATCTTAATCAATTGTTTTTGCTAGGGTGGGGCTTTGCTGTAGTTGCTCTTTACAAGAGGACATGCATTTTCTGGTTGTTTGTGAAAAGCCAATTTTGTTATTTGATTCAAGAGTTAACAATGACCTCAGTTTGAGTGAACACTTCATTCATTTAACTCAAGAGACAAACTTTGATTTTAATCTTTAAGCTACTTTATTGAACAGTAACATAAATCTACAAAGCAGAAAAGTTGGGAGTGAGATCACTTAGTTAAATTGTGACAGTACAATTTATTTCCTCCCATACAATAACAAAAACATGGAGCATGCTTTACTATCTCCATTTAATGAGTTGACTAGCATCATAAACCTGCTCCATTACATTCTGTCAGAAAGACCAGCATTGAATTTCTCACCTACCAATATGGTGCTTTTATGATCTTCCTGCAGAAGATATGATTTTTTGGTGTCTTCTCACATTTAAAAGTCTAAGCCCCTCTTGTACTCCACCTGCCTCACAGATCAGTAAGCGATCAATTGGGTTCCAACACAGAAATGAGTTGTCTTTCTGAATACCAAGGAAAATCAAGTTAAGTTTTATATTTAGCCTGGAATATGCACCTTTTGTCAGTTTGTGCAGATTAAAAATAAAAGCTTGGTAATACACTTAATTTACAAAATAAAACTTAAAAAGTAGCCCTTTTCCAATTTCTTCCCATGGAAAAAGTCAGACTCTCCAGAAACATGACACCCCTTCACTTAACCTTTCGATTTTCCACTTTTGCTTTTTATATCACATTTGTTTGCATTGTAAGCTCCAGTTTTGTTATGACTACTTTTAAACTCTACTCATCCTAGGAGTTCCTATTTGTGCAGATTATGTCCTAGTTCTACAGTTTACAACTTGATTAAAGATTGGACAGTACTGTACCTAACCTAATAGACTAAGATCTGCAAAATTCTTGAGTTTGCACACAAGTCTTACTCAAGCTTTGAAAAGAATATAATGGCAGCACTTTAAAAGCAGGCTAATTTTAAAGTGATAGTGGTATATATTACCTTAGTACTCAATTGAGCAGTTTAAAAAAGAACTCAGAAAACCAAAATATTAAGATTAAAATGCCTTTTAATTTAAAAAAGTTACCATGTCTATGCAGTATAAATATTTGTTCATTTTTATAAAGCATATATTTGAAAAGTCTGCAAAATGATTACAATTGCATTGTTCATTACATTTGGTTACCGAGCTTTATTTAAAATAACAATGGAAAGCTAGAGTTGCTCTTTGTTTCAAAACTATGTTTCATCATTAAAAGTTACATTCAAATATCACGAGTATTCACTACAACCTATTTCAAGTCAGCTCTCAATCAACTGAAAAATTTTGGAAAACTTCTGCCACCTCGATCCAGTTCCTGAAGCATGCCATGCCGAGATCTCGTATCTGTTTACGACCTTTGTCAGTGATGACATCCCCATTCTGTTTTACAATCACCAGCTTTGGAATAGCTGTTATGCAGTATCTCTTCTTCAATTCTCTGTTACAGGGAAAAAAAATCATTAACAAGCAAGCAGCTAACAAAGCAGCCTCTCTATAATTTTATTTTGTGTCATTTATGCCTTCTAACCTATTTTGAAAATTCCACATAAATTCTAATCTGTGCTTTCCTTTGTAATAGGGTTATTCAAGTATGGTTGATAAAAGGAAGCTGTCAAAAAGCTGGTATCGTTGAAACAAATTGATGTTTTTAAGGGGCAAGAACTGAATCCAATTCGTTCAAATTGAGGAGATTAAAAAAGGTATAATCACACTTCTGGGGGTGTTCTGAAGACCTCAAATAGTGAATGAGAGATTAAAAGTAAGAGTAACAGAGATAGAGGCAGAGGGGGAAGAAGAAGAAATCTGCAGGGAAATCACAGAGGTGAAATTAAATTTAACAACTCTAAATTTCAATGACCCAGTGACCACACCTCAACCTGGCTTTGATTTTAAGGGTATATTGCCTTTTTTCTGGATTCCTTCACCAAACGAGTTTCTTTCATGCATTTACCTTAACACACTCCTTTATCATTTTGATTAGATCGCCCATGATCCATATAACTCCAAAGAATACCAGTCAAGTTTATAGCATCTACTCTTTAAACCTCAATATTCTCTCAGCAATTCAGCATTGTATTCCCTTTAAGTCCAATACATTTTTCCTGAGGTTTGGTGTCCTAAACTGAACAGATTGAATCTAGACAGAGACTATCTGGCAAAGGCTCTGTCAAACATACATGAAATGAAACTTAAGCAAAACGTGTTGACTTTTCAGTTTTAACCCCTTGCAAAAATGATTAACATTCTAATGGATTTTCAGATTGTTCTTCATGCCTACGTAAATTATAGCTTCCTGCAGCTGTGCACTTGCTGTTATTATCTACACAAAGGGACACTCAGATTGTTTAGTTTCTCTAATTTTGTCACTCACTAATTTGAAAATATTCAAATTTATCTCACTGTGGGTTTCTCATCAGCATTCACATCAACATTTGATGGGTGGATTTACAGCTGGATGGCCTTCCTGCTGCTACACTTTCTCATTTATCCAGGCTAAGGCAGACGTGAGTGCCTTTTGGTATTTGCCATGTCTTAGTGGTAATCCTCATGCGTTAAACAGGTGGTTGTGATATGAGCAGATAATTCCACCTGGCACCTCAGTGTAATGCTGAAGCAGATGTATAGATTGTACAATACCTGTACTATTGACTAGTTTCTTTCATAGATCTGGAGTGGGGCTTAAACCTGAAGCCACATAGTCCAGTCAGAGGTTCAAAGAATCCCTCCAGTGTGGAAACAGGCCATTCAGCCCTGCAAGTCCACACTGACTCTCCAAAGTAGATCCCACCCAGACTTTTCCCCTTATCCTATTTCTGTAACTCTGCATTTCCCATGGCTAATCCACCTAACCTGCACATCTTTGGACTGTGGGAGGAAACCAGAGCACCCAGAGGAAACCAATGCAGACATGGGGAGAATGTCTGTGTTGAGTTTGCACAGTCACCCAAGGCTGGAATTGAACCTGGGTTCCTGATGCTGTGAGGCAGCAGTGCTAACCAGGGAGCCACTGTTCTACCACTCTAGCCACTATACAACAGAAATTACATTTGAAAAGTACTTAATTGGCTGTAAAGTATTTTGAAATGTCCTGTAATCATGAAAGATGCTATACAAATACAATTATTTATCTTCTTTTGTACAACCTACAGTACCTAGTATTATTGGCTAAGTGTCGTTTATAAAATTCCATATGTAATTTCTTATTCTTTTATCAAAATTATGAACAAATATGGTGAAGAGCTAAAATTTTGGTACAGATTCTCAATGATCGGCACTTGTTACATCATGCCAGAGAATATTTCCTTTGCCCCTACTTCTGTTTCATGCTGACTGAATCTCTTACATGGAATCCTTGGAAATACATCCTGGAAGTTTGGATAGTCATGATTTATAGACAATTCCTTAGGCACCGTGCCAATGAAATGTTAAACTACATTAGTCCTGACGAGACCTGACTCCTTCATTCCAATTCTTTAATCAGTTCATGCTTTCCCACGGGCTTAGTTACTCTGTCTTTGCTGATCGTGATCAGATGTGAATGAATGCTGGGATTGTTCCTTGACATTCAGATTTACTAATTAAGATACAAGAGGTTATCTAAACAAAGTAGGTAATACAGAGGAGGATAACTCGATGGGTTACAAAGGCTGACAGAAACTGAGGAGTCAGTAGTTACCGATCAAGATCAGCACAGAAAGCAAGAATCAGCAAAGGATGGTGTAAGGAAATTCTAAGATCAAGGGAGTGTGTATATAGTCTTTTCTGTAGACACATTCCAGAGATTGTAATCATACATCACTTCTTTGATGTAAGCATGTAGGACATTAAAGAGTGAATACAATTGGACAGATGAAGCTGCCAGACATTATGATTTTTTTAACCAATTACATGTACAGAAGTAGATTCAATCTATGACATTGATTTCCATTTAATGGTATAACCTCCAGTGGGGGTGAAAAAAAACTTAAAGATCAGAACTTTAACAGGCAACTAGAAAAAGATGTTAAGAAAATCCTCAATTTTGTAAGCAGTACTAAGAACAAACCACTCAGGTAAGAATATTAAACCCATTTTCAGTTAGAATGCAGATTGCTTCCAGACAGGGGTGCCTTTTGGTATCTGCCATGTCTTAGTGGTAATCCTCATGCGTTATACAGGTGGTTGTGATATGAGCACATAATTCCACCTGGCACCTCAGTGTAATGCTGAAGGATTGTTGCACTGATGCAGGTGACATCTTTCAGATAATCCACTAAATCCTTCTCAGATGGGTGTAATAGATCTCATGGCACAATTATGAAAAGTAAAGAAGCTCTTAGTCACTGGATACGAGATGTTAACTCTGCTTTCTCTCCATCGATGCTGCTAGACGTGCTTGAGTCTCTCAAGCAATTTCTGTTTTTGTTTCAGATTTTCAGCATCTGCAGTTCTTTATTTTATCTTATGTTCTGTCTCCATACGTTACAATAATAATTCAAAAGTAACTTGCTGTAAAATCATTGCACATGTTTTGCAGTCTTATAGAGTGCTATAAGAAATACTTCCTTTTACAAGGCAAGTCAAAGCCATTGTAAGATAAAAAAAGAACTGAAGTAGTGGCCAGAGATCAATGAGACTCTTATAATTATTGAAAACATGAAGGGAGAGATTGAGATTTAGTTTTTATGGAAAGAGTTGCTAGGATACCTAACAAACAGCAGTAAAAGTAGTTTCCATAAAAGCTTTAAGTATTTGCAAGGAAAAAAAATTAAAATATTCAGGAAATGAGACTAAACGGATAGTTCTTTCAGGGAGCTGACAGACTCACTGAACTAAATGCATATTTTGGCACAGTAAGTACGATTGTGTGAAAGAACTGCATTACACCCATTTTCTACTATATTATATTCAACAATCACTATTGAAAAGAATCTTATGTACCATTCTTTTTAGAAATAATTTTGCTTGAACGAGTCACTGTGGGTTGTAAATTGTATAAGTCAAAGTCAAATGTATTTGAGTGGGGGAGTGGGCTGCACTCATTGGGTACATGAGCACATATAAAGACAAACTGATAGTTGGTTTTAGGTGTAGGAGCTGTACATTTGCAATATTTCACTTTGTAAATAAATGTAACACTACGTAAAGATTTACTCTGTCTCTTTCACGAATAAGCTGTAAGAAGTTTTATATGGATTACATTAAACCACACGACCACTGTCAATCATTTATCCATCAAGAAAGTTCACCTTGATTTCTGCCCCCGGCAATGATCTACATAGTTTCTCAAAATTATTAACAAATGACCCCATTTACAGCTTTATCATTTCAGGTGAAAATGAGTTATTGAAATCACTACTCCCTGTAGTTTTTTCTCCCCTCTCTGAACTAGACACCAATGGTTTGACACCTTTTCCCTCCTCCGATTCCTTCTCATATGGTACAGCTATTCATATGACACTTCACAGCTCTGAAATGCAAGAGAAACCTTGACAATAGGAGAGAAAAGGCATACTTTGCATTTAAATAGCTCTTTTAATTATCACTTTATTGTCATTAAGTACTTTCGATCTGTAGTTACCGTTGTAATATATAAAAAAGGAAAAATGTGATGCCCTCATGAATAAATGGGCAGATACAAACATGCGACTGCTACACAACTTCGTGTGAAGTGTATAACATGTAAACTTAAAATAATTTACTGGATGTGAAATCATGTTAGATAAAATTCAAATTAGAATTTTGATTGTCAGAAAATTCAAACTTAATTTTTGTGTCCTGGTTCCTCCCATCCATCTTTACAACAACTCATTGTCACTAAATTCCACCTTTACTGGAGGAAAAGCATCTATGCAGTCAACAGTATATGTTGAGTTTCTGATTTCAACGATATGAGAAGACCCCAGCCCCCCAGCCCCAGTCAATTTATGTTAAGTCAGTTAAATACTCAACTCAGTACAGCAATTTATCACAGTGAGTAAAAACACTAATTCCAATGTACTCCTACCTTTCATTACTGTCCTGAAACAATTTTGTTGATGACACTGACTCACCAATTATGAAAGAGTAAAGTACATATTCAAGTGTGAATCAAAAGTTGTAAAATAATTTGCAAAGTTACTCGACAGATTTTAAAATCTACTTATTAGTTAAATCTGAAACAAATGTCAGAACAAAAACATATTTATAAAATATCTATAAGATAGGCTAGAGTTACAGGATAGTAAGGTGCTCTGACTAATACCTCATGAAAGCTGAGGCAATGTTTATCAGCATACCAACTCTGATTGCAGTTTCCTGGCTCTGTATTAAAACTGCTTGCCAAAATGCATCTGCACTCAAATCCAGTAATTACCAAGATGGCCAACACAGCTGCAGTAAAAATGTCACTTCTTAATGCTAATAAGGAAAATTCCTCAGCAGAAAATCTGATCTCAATTTTAAATGAAAGAACTGGATGTATATCTGTCTTGGGATATAAGTAAGGATTATAAAGATAACACTTGAAAATGCCAAATTCCATATGGTGTCTGATCTTTTAACAGAGTAGGAAGATTTATTTCAAAGAAGATCATCAGTCAATAGTGGGTAATAAAGAGAATCGAACCATTTCTGCTTGACAGTTAATGGCAATATTATCACTGAATCTCTCAATATTAATATCCTAGTGTCACCACTGAACTGGACCAGCCATATATATTTATATACACACACAGTAGCTACAATGATCAGAGACTGGAACTCCTGCAGCAGATAACACCCCTAACAGTCCAAAGCCTGTCCATCATCACAAGGCACAAGTCAGGAGTGTAATGAAATACTTGCCATTGTCTGGGTGAGTGCAGCCTCAACAATACTTAAAAAGCTTGATGTCATCTAGAACAAAGCAGTCCACTTGTTAGCACTGCATCTATCACATTCAACAAACACTTCCTCGACCATTGACACAAAGAAGCAGCAGTGTATACCATCTAGATAGTGCAGCAACTCACCAAGATTCTTACAACAGCACCTTCTAAACTATGGCCACTACTGCCGAAAAAGGATAAGAACGGATGTATAGGAACACTACCAGGTGCAAGTTCTTCTCCAAGTCATTTCTTCATGTTGTTACGTCCTAGAACTCCCTCCCTTAACAGTACTGATGGTGTACTCAAGCACCTGTGGACTGCAGTGGTGCAACCAGGCAGCTCAGCATCACCTTCACCAGGGCACTTACAGATAGGTAATAAATGCTGCACTAGCTAGTGATGGCTACATCCTGTGAATAAATGTTAAAAGCTCAAAGCTGGATGGTTATTTCAGAGCTTTCATTTATGTATGTCAGAGGACCATTTCTACAGAAGATTAAATGAATTGTGTGCAGTTCATAATCAAACAGGTTATACGATTTGCAGAGGGACTGTATTTGAACAAATGGTCCTACCTCATTCCTAGCTTTATATTATTTACAAAATGCATTTGCTGAAGAGCTTACTAAAGACACCTGTACTCTAAGTAGTTGTGGAAATTTAGTTCTGTATAAATCTAGCAAAATCTCACAAAAATTGTGAGCAAATCAGTTGGTGACACTTTAAAGCAAAATATTGCTAACATGATCATTCAAAAGTCATTTTAAGTATTTTAACAAATGTGGAACTCCACTGTGACAAGGACTTTATGAACATTCAAACAAAATATTTAAACTGTATTTTTATACAGAAGCCAAAACACCTCCAATATCTACAGATGGAAAGATACTTCTCTGGAAACAGGCAAATCGCTCGAGATAAAAGGCTGGATTACTTAAATCCGGATGAGAGTTTTTCTCATCTTTTGCTTTTTACTTTCTGCTTGCAATGATTGGTGACACAAAGTAACCGATTGCCAATCGTGCCTTCAGGTTCGCCATGCCCGTCAGAGAACCACTACTTGACCAGCTACAGGACAGGAGGAGACTACACTGTACTAAAATACAAGCTCTCTGTGATTATCTCCCGGCAGAATCGGCATTGTCCGAGATCTAGTGATATGGGCATTTCCCAGTGACAGCGTAGCTAAGTCAGTAGGTGGTAAATCAGTACGTAAGTAAGTGGACATATTAGGCTAGTTTTTCCACATATCCCCCCATATTGCTCCTGCAAACATTTACAGCACTTACAGTTTGTACGTATCATGCCAGGGCAGTGCCAGCCAGTCTCCGTGCATCGCTCCCATGTAGTTCACCATGTCATCTTCGCTCTTGTCTGAAGACACAAAGACGATCTCGAACTGCGCCGCCGGCTCGCTCTCCTGGACCAGCTCGGTGTAAAACTCACACAGCAGCGGGGTGAAATCACGACACGGCGGACACCAGCCCCCAGAAAAATAGATACCCACAACTTTATTCTTCAAGGCCTCCTCCGGATCCACCTCTTCCCCGTCTTTATTCACCAACGTATGACCCACAAACACCTCCACCATCCCTCCTTATCGACAAAATGTTGAAAACAAACAACGACGCAGCGCCGCGTGCCGCCAACCGCCGTTCTTTAGGTCCGTGCGGCTCCGTGGAGATGTTTAAGGGCTGGCCCCACCCCCTTTTTCTGTATTACCCCCGTCCACAACGGCATCTGGCCCCGCCTACCTTACCGCGAGGCACCCGCTCCTGCGCGTGCAGCGCTGATGTCCGTTGGAGAGCGTACTTTCTATTGGGTAAGGGTCTCGGATTGAATTGGCGGGGTCTTTTTTTTCTCTTCATTTGTGGGATGTGGGTGTCGCTGGCTGACCTGAATTTCTTGCCCAGCCCTAGTTGCCCTTGAGAAGGTGGTAGTGAGCTGCTTTCTCGAACCGCTGCAGTCCCCCTGCTGTGGGTTGACCCACAATGCCATTAGGGAGGGAATTCCAGAATTTTGACCCAGCGACCGTGAAGGAACGGCAATATATTTCCAAATCAGGATGGTAGGTGACTTGGAGGGGAAATCAGAGGTGATGGTGTTCCCATATGTCTGATGCCCGTGTTCTTCTAGGTGGAAGTAGTCCTGAGTTTGCAAGGTGCTGTCTGAGGATCTTTGGTGAATTTTGCAGTGCATCTGGTAGATAGTACACGCTGCTGCTACTGAGCGTCGGTGGTGGAGTGAGTGAATGCTTGTGGATGTAGTGTAAGGGTCGTATTTATCCACAAGCTTCAAAATCTCCCTTCCCCCTACTGCATCCCAAAACCAGCCTAGCTTGTCCCCACCTCCCTAACCTGTCCTTCCTCTCACCTATCCCCTCCTCCCACCTCAAGCCCCACCCCCATCTTCTACTTACTAACCTCATCCCTCCCCCTTGACCTGTCCGTCCTCCCTGGCCTGACCTATCTCCTCCCTAACTCCCCACCTACCCTCACCTTTACTGGCTCCATCCCCACCTCTTTGACCTGACTGTCTCCTCTCCACCTATCTTCTCCTCTATCCATCTTCTATCTGCCTCCCCCTCTCTCCCTATTTATTTCAGAACCCCCTTCCCCTCCCCCATTTCTGAAGAAGGGTCTAGGCCTGAAACGTCAGCCTTCCTGCTCCTCTGCTGTTGCTTGGCCTGCTGTGCTCATCCAGCTCTACACTTTGATATCTCGTATTTGTCCCTGTTCCTTTAGTTGATTGCTATTCACTCTCAATGCCGGAAATCTGGAAAAGAAACAAAAAAAAATGCTGGAGAAACTCAGCATGACTGGCAACATCTGTGCCAACAAGAGTTAATATTTCAAGTTCAAAATTATTCTCCTAAAGGGGTCTGGAAAAATGACTTTTTTTGAGGTCTGATTTTGCTTAGGTTGTGGATGCAGTAGTTCGTTTGCTTGCCAAGCTGGTTGATTTGTAGCACGTAGACATTTTGTTACCGTTCCAGGCAACCTCTAATCAAAGCATTGGTATTCTGTTTTTCAGCAGTGGTCTGTATACAGGGTCTATTTCTATGTGTTTGTTAATGGAATCCTGTGTTGAGAACCAGGCCTCCAGAAATTCCCTTGCATGTCTGTTGTTCACTTGTCCCAGTATAGTCACTTTGTCCCAGTTGAATTGATGGCCTTCATTGTCTATGTGTATTGAGCCAAGTGAATATTGGTCGTCTTTTTACTGCCAGCTGGCACATGCAAGGGAAATAAGAAATAGACACTGGTTACAGACCGCTGCTGGAAAAACAGAACTGGAAGTGACAAGACCCACCACACCAGAGGATTATACAAATTCGGAATGGAGCAGAAAACTGACACTTCATTTAGAGATCACACTGATGATGTTGCCTAGAATGGTAACAAAACATCTGCACACCACAGAACAACCAGCTCCACGAGCAAATAAACAACTGCAGTGTTTTATGCTATTAAAATAGGGAGAAGGAAGCAGCGATGTAAAAAGGTGCGTACAGGAAAAAGCAAAAGGAATGCTGATGGTAAGTGAAAAGTGATATAGATGAAAAAGAGCTAATAGGAGAAAATAAGTCAGCCCATGCAAACAAGGCAGAAGGGGGGTAATCAAAATAAATAAGAGTTCATTTCCCTGTAGCTGTTCAAATAACTCCACTAAAACCGGTATCCTGTCACCAAGTTACCCTTTATTTTTGCGGGCACAGCACACGACACTGATGCAGCTAGCTCAGAGCCAGCTCCTGGACCGACCACCTGAATTATAAGAGAACTTATATTCTATGAGGGTGACCTGGTTGACCTCATACCGATCACTACACACCTACACTTCAAAGTCCTGGGACATACAACTTTTCTTTTTTTTCCTGTAGTTTCTCTTGGGGCCTTTTTGCACCAGGTCTGGTTTCTCCCACTCTGCCGTGGATACGGGTGGCATGTACTGGACTGTAAACCCACCTCTTGTGCCTGGAGCATCTTAGTTAAAATTTTATCTTCTTCAAGCAGTAATGGCGTTGATGCTGCAACATCTGCTGTGTCCATCTCATCCTCTGGTTTCTTCGATGGTAGGTGGAGGAGGAGAACCCATGAGTTCAGACAGCCTTGCTGGATGTTCTCAGGGGCTGGTTATGAATTTCTCCTGCCCCATTTATGAGGTTGCAGCTTCGTGAAGGACTGCAGCTACCCCCCCCCCACCCCCCAACCAGATTTATGTATAAGGTCTCTACACAAGAGGCTGAGTATATATCCAGCTGCAAAACATGGTTTACTGCTTGTTTGAAATCCCCAGAAATGCGAACAGACCCATTGGGCTTCACAGTTAATACGATCGGTGATGCCTATTCTGCAAACTGTAATGGTTTGATGATTCATTCACTTTCCAGCCTCCTGCTTTCTGCCTGTACTTTTGCGTACAAGGCAGATCGCACTTGCAGAATCATGGAATTGCTTCTTGGTCAATATGTAAGGTAGCCTTGGCCCCTTTGATAGTCCCTAGACCTTTCTTAAAAACCGATGACTATTTACTTAGAACTTCACTCAGCCAGCCATTTTCCATCAAAAAATATTGAGCCAGTCAAGTTGAATCTTTCTCAACCAATTTCACCCTAGCAAGCTTGGGTATAAGTCTTTTACTACAATCAGAGTAACTGAACCAGCAGCTTCTCACAAGTGGCCAGAACCGAAGTTGAACCTGGGGTTCCCAGCTATAGGTTCTCAGCCTGGCCAAGGTCTTACACAAATTTACGGGTTGGAGTCCAGAGCGAATTTTGGTATAAAGACTGGTTCTGCAATCACTCATGCAGACCTCCACTAGAACTGGGTGACCATTTAACCAGATGTTTAGTTTGATTGGTTCTGATTTGGCTGTTGCTAAGCAATTTAACTGTTCCAAATCAGCTGCAGGTGGCTTTTCCAGGGTATGCATTTTCTGGGATACTGGCCAGTTCAGGCCTTGTGGGACTCTGTCTTGAGTCTGCATAGCAGCAGCAACTACAAGGGCCTGCTGGCCCCGCTCCTCAAGAAAATTTGAACCATTTACCCAGGGCTTGGCTTTGTTTTGGGGTTTTGCTGTGGGCTGACCTAGAGTCCCTCTGTTCAGGATATGTCCTGAGTGAGGCTATGCAATTGCCTTCACTCAAATGGTGTTCCCCAAGCTCAGCTAGCCTGGCTAGGGTGTCCACTTCAGTTGGAATACCCTGTCTCTTAGGCTCCACTTGCCTTATTTTCTAATGACAAAGCCAGCTGTAGTGCCCGGTTTGATATCCATTCGGGCTTCAGCTAGCGGCAGTTTTGCATTGGTTGTTTCAGTAGCATAGTGAAATAGTGAAAGGATTGGATTGGACTCTTTAAATCTAATCCCCATTCTCACATAAAGACAGACAGACACAGATAAGTGATAAATCAAAAAGGGGAAAAATGAGATTTAACTGTTTAGTTCACTTAAGCAGGTTCTGCGTTCCAGAATATCACCAGCATATGCAGTTATATCTTGCTTGGCTTCTGACTATACCAATAACTGTATTTTAATTTTTTTTGTTTGCAAGCAGTTCAACCTAACAGCCACCTCACTGAACTACCAAAAGCTGGCAGAGATAGTACCTTTCGTGACAGTCTTCCTTCTTGGAACCATGACGGCCAATTGTGTGTTAAATATTGCTTGATGTACTCTGACAGAGCAGTTTCTGCCACATTGGTCAGTTGTCTTCATCTAGAACCGAAGTGATAGATTAGTTTTTTTTTGGTTTGGATCTTTTTCTCAGCCAGTTGAATTTTGTATTTCTCCTCACCTCCTCTAATGTTCATCTCATTAGTCAGCCTCCAGAAGTCTCCCAGTTGTACCTATTGATTTCTGTCATCTTCATTTCTTATTTGATGAGGTCTTTGTGGCAGTGATACAGGCGGTCAGTTCACCTCAGAGCAGAAATTTGGATATATTGGATCTATACAAGGAACACAGTTGAGCCAGCTCATTTAGTAATGAGCATATGCTGATGGAATTAACATACTTAATGGGCCAAACAGCCTCTTCTATACCATATCACTATATAATTTTGAGATAGCAAAGGTTGAAATTGTTGAGCCTTGCCTCTAGGCTAGCATATTTTTGTCCAAGTCTCATGACTCTAGAGGGGTATACAGATGACCAGGCTTGGTAGATTCACAATTTGATTTAGGCGGTCAGGTTGCTTTTATTCCACACATTCTTACTCAGCTTGGACATACCAGCTGCAACCTTGAACAATGGACATATTGATTTCTGCATCAAAGTTAATAGTTGGTAGTACAGTAACATCATGGGCGATGATATTTATTTCCTTGATATGACGGTCAAGCCAAACATTTTACAGGCTTAACTGTCTGTCCATTTGCTGTTGGAAGAGTTCCTCAAAATAAATGCTCAATACATCATAATCAGCTTACAGCAACTCTTGGATCTCAGATGAGCAAGGGTGAACAATTTTCAGTCAGTCCTGTTCCGATGATGCTATACATGATATCAACAATAAGAAAATATGCCAAAGAATTTATGCCAGAACAGCACTGTGGATCCCAAAGAACTCCAATATTGTCGTATCATGACTGACTTTACCAATTCATGGTGCCTTGTAAAAAGTGGAGATCACATTGAGCAGCTTTGTGTGCAGCCAATTTTCTTTTGATTTGATT